GCCCAGCATGACTGCAGTCACTAAATATCAGCAAAAACAACACTGTTCTATAGTCCTTTTCTATCAATGAGCATGACTTAATTTTCCACCAGATGTCACACTGTGATTACAACAGTATACCGAAGGCTCCAGAAATCTGAAGCAGGTATAGTTCAAGTTCATGGAACTGAGATTATAATTACTCGATTGTATGCCGAACTGGGTATTTTTAGTAGCTATTTGAGGACAACAGACTGAGAAATGACTCTTGGTTAACTATGCATTTTTTAAAAATTATTTTGTGATTTAATAAGTAGAAACAAAAGAGATTAAAATAATATCAAAATCAAAGGAATTTCTAAAATAAAAATGGTATTATTTTCAGAGTAAACAATTTCTCTGGCGTCCCTAGGTGCTGCACAGGGTAAGCACTTGACTACTAGTCAAAAGGATGGAAGTTCAAGTCCACCCAGAAGGGCCTTGAAAGACAGGCCCGCTGATCCGCCTCTGACATATCACAGCCTTGAAAATTCTATGGAGCAGCTCTGCTCTGCACACGTGAGGTCACCATGAGTTGGAATCAACTTGACAACAACCAACAACAATGAAACAAGTTTTCTAGGCAAAATGTTACTTGGTAAACCCTACTAATGAATGAAGTGTGATCACCTCAAAATCCTTAGTACTTTGACAGTGGAATCAGAATACTGCTTTCTGCAAACACACACACAAACTCTAATTACCACGTGCTCTAATAACGCAGAGGCAGTTTGCTTGTCGGTAAAGTGGGGCTAAGCTGCTACTTCATAAGGATGTTCTGAAATCTAAAATTGAATTTAAAGGATATGAACTGATTTACTATACTTTTAGTTTATATGTAGGGTGATGTGAATTAATGGTCATGTAAATTAAGGGGTATACATTCAAATTACCAAATTATTAGAAATATTAAAGAACTCCATCACAAGGAGTATAGGCATAATTTTTACCCAGATTTCTTAACCTTCAAAATCACCAGATGCAAAAATACAAAATGGAGTATTAACTACATTGAGTTATGACATCTTACAACAAGGAAAAAGCCTACCACCTCTCACTCCTCACCCTTGGGCCCCTCAGGCCACGACGAGATCTCTGGCTGTGTGACGCTGAACAAAACAGGCAGGAAACCATTAAAATACACACAACTCTCTTTCTACATCTTTCCAAAAAGAATCTATTCCACATGAGAAGGTAAGAAACATTTAGAGTGGACTAATACAGAGACAACTCCCGACTTTAGCTGCAAATTCTTTCCGTAAATGATCGTGTAAAGTGAATCATACTCCCCACAGAAACAACACAAAATTAGGGATTATGTTCCTGATCGAGATATAAACATGAAGATAAAAATATAGTTTTTAAGTTACAAAAATACCCATAATATCATATATCTCTTTAATACAGAAAGTGTCCTAAAATAACAAATAGTTATAAGAACCATAAAAATTACTTCGTTCAAATTTTTGAAATTAAAAAGGCTTTTGAAAAAAACCTATTAGACAAGTGAAGATGGAAAGTCTGGTCATACCCAAGATTTGAGACTACACTGAACAGGCATTTCCATACAATATCAGCAGGACTATAAATTGATACAAATTCTCTGGAAGGCAACTTAGAAATTTCAGTGTAAGTGATGTATTAAATTTTAAAACGCACCTACCCTTTAACCCAGTAATTCTACTTCAAGAGACTTATCCCGCCAGTACATACACTCAGCATGTCCTCACTGAAATAAGGGAAATGCCCGCTGCTGGACACTCTGCTACTCTATGTCTGGAGGGTGCTTTTATTCCTGATGAGAAAACACAAGGAGGAGACCACCTTGGGAGTGGGTGGCTGAGGTGGAACAGAGAATAAGACCACTGGAGGGGAGGCACAGGATCATTTACCTAAATAATGAACTCTTAGGGGAAAAAAAAATCCCAGCTTCTCTTCCTCTTGTCCCATTCTTTCTTAAACCCACAGCCATCAGATGTTTAACTCCCACATTCCAAAAGAAACTGAGTGGCAAGGTCACCAATGACCATTACTTGCCAAACCCAGTGGTTAGCTCTCCACTGGTATTTTAACTGAACAAAACTGACCATTCACTCCTTGAGGAGTTCTTCACTCCATGCTATCCTGGTTTTCCTCCCTCAAGCTCCTCTGAATCCTCTGCTTGGTCCTGACCTCCGTATGCTGACGTACCCCTGGGCTCAGCCCTCAGACTCTCCTCTCTACCCATATCCCACTTCTAGTGAGATCGTCCAGTCCCACAGCCCTGAACACTTTGGTGTGATGACGAGTCCCAAATTTATATATTCTAGTGCTGCTTTCTCACCTAACTCCTGACTGTTATACTAAAATGCCTACCAACATTTGGTATCTAATAGGTATATCTCAACTTTTACACTCCAAATTCAACTTCCTGACTTCCCTCTTAAACCTGCTGCGGTAACCGTGCAAATGAAGACAACTCCAGCTGCGCAGGGGAAGAACCCTGACGCCATCACATATCGTACCACACCCAACCCATCACAATTTCTATCAGCCTCACATTCAGAATAAACCCACAACGTGAACACTACTACTCTCTGCTTTCAACACCAGCCCAAGTCACTTTCATTTCTTACGTGAAGTACAGATGCTTCCTATCTGGCATTCCTGCTTTCACCATCACCCTCAAAATTTATTCTCAGACTAGCAGCCAGAATGATTCTTTGAAATATAAATTGGGTTATGTCATTTCTCACCTCAAAATCCTCCGACAGCTCCTCATCTCAGACTAACATCCAGTATCCTTACCGTGGCCTAAAGCCTACATCATCTGCCATCCACTCCACCCACATCTTTCGCCTACACTGCTTGCCAAGCTCCACACTGGCCTCATGGATGCTCTTCAAACATGGCGCAGGGCCACCGCACTGACTGCCCTGTTGAGAACACTCATCGCCTATATCCAAATGGCTGCACCACACTTCAGTAAGGTTTACTCTCAAACGTCACCTTCTCAGAGACCTTCTCTAATCATCCTGTATAAAATACGATTTCCCTAATCCACCATTCTCCATTCTGTTACCCTACTTTATTTTTCTTCATAGCACTTTATTACAACATAGTTAATATTTGCTTTGCATCTTGTCAGTCACCCAATTCCTCCTCCACCACAAACAGCCAAAGCTCCATGAACAAAGGAACTCTGTAGGTCAGCTTTAGGCTCTCTGTCCCCTCAAGGGCAGACACAGTGTCTAGCCTACAGCAAGCACGCAATAAACATTTGCTGAACGAACTACAAAGGCTCATGGGTAAGAAAAAGCTCGCAGTTTTGAAAAATTCAAATAAACACAGAATGACTAAATCTGTGGGTATGGTGTGAAGTGTGTGTGTGCATGTGCAGATGCGTGCCCAAAAAAGAGGAAACAGACACAAAAAAGTTAACTGATTTTCTGAAAGACACATAGCTAGTTAGCATCACAGCTTCTAATTCCAAGTTCTTTCCCAGGTTAATACTTTTCAGAACTAAAGCAGTTGATTAGAATAATCTAACAGGTAAGTTTTAGTTATTAGACACAGCTCTACTTGCTATATTAGATGAACTCATTTGCCTAGTGTAATATCAGCTGACTATTTTCTGGTTATACACAGCAATAAAATAATGCTAAATGTTAAGCAACTTTTTCTGAGCATGGGACTAACAGCCCAACATGCTGACAAAATCCCCTTTTCTGTAGTTTTTCAATTAGATCAACGAAAAGGATGAAGAAAGATTACATGGCTTAACAATGTACAAATACAGATTTTAGTTTATGTTTCTGATAAGCCCTATTAAGCAGAATTTACATGAAATTCTTTTTTTCCAAGAAGTTAATCAAGTTGTCAAGTAAAGGAGAAATGTTTATGACTTTGTGAGTTTATTTATAGAATAGACTATCTGGAAAATAAAGAACACCAGACACCATACTCATTTACGTAAATATCAATAAATTTTTGTTGGACAGAATACTAACAGTTGTCCTAGTTTTTTCTATAGCTACTTAGGGTCTGCATGTCTGTATATTTTTACTAATATAAGAAAAATATTTTAATGACTTAGAAAACCATCTTTTTTTTTTTTTTTTTTTTTCTTCATTTCCCACTGAAAAAGGTAATAATCTGGTACTAGTTCAACTGTCATTTCTAGACTGTAGAAGGGGGGAGATGGCAAAAGAGAGGAGGAGGGAGGGGAGGAGGGAGGGATGATGGAAATACAAAGGTGAACAGGAAATTTCTCATGAGTTGTCACCCTCTAAAGTTACCTGTAACGCCTTATCTGAGACCCCTAATAAAAACTTCAATAGTTCTTAACATGTCAGAAATTAATATTAAATGAGTTAAAGTGTGAGCAGTGCTCAGAATGGTGCCTGGTACTTTAGTAAAAGTTAGTTTCTATTTTTATTAAAAGAACCTTTTATCACCTGGGGAATTTCACTGTGACATTAATCTTTCTGTAGGACACAGGATATGCTAGCAGAGTAACTGGCAGACAAATGCTAGTCAGAGAACATCTTCTTCCTAACAGAGCTCATTCAGCGTATTAGACGTAGCGACTTCTCAACACTCGTCAATTGCTCACAAGGAGCTACTGCTCAAGAGAAGAAAGCCTATTTCGTCACTCAGACTGATTATGGTGTGCTTATACCTTCCCCCATAATGGTAACAGTGATTCAGAAACTTTAAAAGTTTAACACTGCTGTTGAACAGTTGGCCATTAATTAAGTTTGTGCCCCACACGACACTTTTTTCACAAAGAATAAACAGGCTTTCCTGGATCTGCGGAATGTCTAAGCTTGTCTATTGTACTGCATTAAATGTGTTATAAACTACTTACATATTTTGTGGTTTACTAAAATTTCTAACAAATAATAACCTATTCTTTATTAGCATAAATATTATAATAATTTAAAATCAAACTGAAAAGGGGAGGTGGGACCCAAATCTCAGATTCGGAAATTATTACTTACTGCAGGTACCAGTAATTTCTTCACTTCTTCAACTGCTCTCTTGAGTTTGATTTCTGCTCTGTTCTGAGCATCTTCCACAGTGATCAGTACATGTAAATCTTCATTTAGATGTTCCCAGTTGGGCTTGCCTCTATTTTGCTCCTCCTAAAAAAATTACAAAGTACACTGTTACAAATTACTCTCCTCAAAGAGAGGGTGCATCTAGCATAACACTAACTTGTTCCCAATTATTTAAGCTATGTTTTCATTATTTTGGTGTGATGACAATATAAACTTTCTGAATTGTTTTCCTGGCAAAAAGTCTGGCTGTGAGATTACCGGGTCCAATGTTGGTTAGTTCAACAATAAATATTTGTTGAGCATCTACTACCACGTACCACAGGCAGGGAACCAGATGCTAACACACCCCAGTGAGCAAGACAATCACAAGCCCTGTGGTCCCGCGATGCACTAAGAAATGTGTGTTTGGTTCATCCTCAAATTATCATGAAAACACTTTAAGAGGCATGTTATCATTTCTATCTTTTACTGATGAGTCCAGAAGCTCACCAAGGTTAAGCAAGTCACTTGTCAAGATCACAGCAAATAAGCTGCTAATTTAAGAGCTGAACCAAAGTTTTCATTCTCAAATTCAGCGATCTTTCCACCTCATTTAACTGCTTTTAGTACACTGGTTGTCTTCAAATCAGGAACAGTATTTTACACAGACATTATTATGTACCATAAATAGCATCTGTATTAAGTATTTCAAGTGGTAATTACAAAAACATTTCTTTATAGTCACAACAAGCACTAAAGGTAAGAACAGTCTTAGCTGTTAAATTCATCGACTTTACTTTTAAACAGTGAACTAACTCTAAGGTCACTCTTTAATTATATCAAGTCATAAACATTAATTTAGTAGAGAATACCTATGTTTCATTTCTGTGATGTCTTGAAATCATCTAGTAAGGGATGTCCCCATGTTGGAAACCTCGTCAGGCTACAAAAGAGGGAGCTTTCGAAGCACAGTGAGTCACATATCCCTTCCACTTCAGACTATTCTTTGCTTCTTGTTTTAAGTTTTACAGCAATAAATGGACCTGGCTCAGAGCAAGGTAACAATGTAAACAACAGACAGGAGCTGCTGCCAAACGTCTATCTTAAATGCCACTGTTTACCAAATTTTGAGGTTCCAATCACAGAAAATAAAACTGCTAAAACAAATTCTTAGTGCAAAAGCACTAGCAGCTTTCTGCTACATCTCACATGTTCACAGAGGCAATGCTATGAAAAATCTATAAAGCTTAACCAATAAGGGTAGAAGTAAGTTCTAACAGTAAAGCATATGCTTCTGCCTTTATTTTCCATTAGTATCATTAGTATGAAAACACATCCAAATGTTTTAAATGGGAAATTAGACGAAAAGAACTTTCCACAATCCTATCATAGGCTACGCATGTGTTGCCAGACACGGATTCACAGTGAGCACGGTGAACTCATGGGGGTGCAGTGGGATACTGTAATGTCATGTGAAGTACAGCAACAGTCACTGTCTGTCAGACACCATACAAACTACTAGTTCAAAATATTTGACTATTTCAACATTAATCAGATGTCGTTGAGTCGATTCTGACTCATGATGACCCTATGTGTGTCAAAGTGGAACTGTTCTCTTTAGTCCACAGGGTTTTCAGTGGCTGACTTTTCAAAAGTAGGTCGCTAGGCCTTTCTTCCTAGGTGCCTCTGAGTGGGCTCGAATCTCCAGCCTTTCGGTTGGCAGCTGAACACGTTAACCGTTTGCACCACCCAAGGTTTTGATAAAAAGCAAGTCCAGATAAAAAATAATGTGGAACAGGACACGAGGGTGTGTCCCCACAGATTCCATTAATAAATAACTGTGACTATTTAAGACTAAAATAAAATTTTCTTCTTTCAATTTATGTGTGCTTTTAAAAAATGAATACTAAGCTATTATAATATAAATTCTAATTAAGGTGTTTGGAAGTAACTATTTAATAAAGGAACTGTTAGGTATTTTTTCTGATACAGGGGCACCACAAAAAACCGAGGACGTAATGAATCAAGACTGGGAAGCTCAGAGTTATCTTTATGCCGAAGAATGTAAAATGTGTAAATCTGTACCCATACCTCTGCTCCCCCAAGAAAAATCCAGATTTTAATTTTTATGTTGAGAAATGTTGCCAAATTTTCCCTCCAAAGTTCCATTTTATTCATCCATTAATTTCTTTGTAGACAGACATTATAAAGTTACTTGTATTATTTGGTGAACCTAACAGTGCACCTACATACGTACGCATAAGGGACTTCTGCTCCTGGCCAAGACGAGTAACAGGAACCAGATTTACGCTCTGTCCTGAAGCAACCAATAAATGATTAAAATACAGGAAACACCAGTCTTCAAGACACTGGGCAGAAAGCAACCAGGGACAGCGACCCCTGGCTGCTGAGCAACAAGGGCGGTGAGCACTGAGATGCCCAGCTCACTGGCTCAAGCATTTCCAGGCCGTGGCCCAGGGAGGGCAGGCCGGTGGGGCCTGGAGCCTCCAGAGTGCAGGGAGGCCAATGGCCTTGCTCTCTGGAGACCCGCAGAGGGCCTCCTGTCCTCAGCTGCCCCTGATCAGCGGGCGCTGGAGGAAGGGCTCACGCAGGGCCAGGATGAACGCCTCACACTCCCAGCACTGGGTAGAGGACACCGAGGAGTCTTGCCTCAGTCATGAGAATAATTATGGCTGGACTGAGCACTGTGACAGTACCGCCGCCTCAAAAACTTTCTTAAAACCAAGACCTAAAAGATCAAACCATTTCCAACTAACTTAACTGCACCTCAGAACAAAGTTCAAGAATACTTGTAAGACTACAAAACATCTAGCCAACAAGGTAAAATTCACACTCTGCCATCCAGTCAGAAATCACAGGCATGCAAAGCAGCAAGCAGCAGGAAACCAGGACACATGAGAGAAGAAAAACCAATCAATTGCCACCGACCTAGAGCTGACACAGATGTCAGAATCAGTGAAGACATGAGAGCTAGTGTGTGTGACACAGACACTAGTGCACGGACAACCTGAGCAACATTTATAATCCAGAGGGTTTTAGAAAAGCCTAACAATAAAGCTACACTAAAATCGTAAGGGACCTGCCACAGAAACCTTCCTGCAGGGGAAGACAAAAGCCAGAGGATTAAAAAAAAAAGGGGGGGGGGCGCTATTTGTACGCTAGGAACAGGAAACAAAGTTGCACTGTAACTTGCTCGTCTGCGTTACTGGAGAAGTAAAACGTTTCAGGTGTAAAACTGCTTGGCAAATGTATAGTTTTGACTGATTCGACAACAATGCCAATTAAAAATACAAAAAGAAAATTACATCTATCCTAACGTTTGTTTCAAAATAAAGTTTTGCTTGCCGTTTAAAAAAAAAAAAAAAACCATTGAAGGAGCATGAATTCCCAGATAAAAATGGTAAAATCAATGCAGTCATGTACTTTAACTCCTTCCTAAAATTCTTCTAAAATAAGAGTTTAAATATATAAACTCATAAGAAAGAAAAAAATGCAAAAGAAAACAGTAAAAAAAAAAAAAAATTAAGAACCAGAAAGCAGATGACTTAGGGGTAACTGATGTAACAGACCCCAGAAAGCAAAATTCTGGGCCCTCAGAGTAAGGAAAGCCAAGAAGGAACCCAATTTACACCGCACAACCCCCAAAAGGCTGCAGAAATTGGCAGCCCTGGAGGTGAGGGTGAGGGAGACGCTATGACTGGAGGGCTGGCTGAACTCTCCTAAGCAGCAGTTGAATTTCTACATCCTTTCTCCCCAAAGAGCTGGGTAGCTAGCACTCCTTGGTCCCAGCAAAAGACGAGGAACTGATTTTCTAAAGGAAGTTGAAGACACGGGGGCGGGGCGGGGCACTGCTGACACACTGAAGGCTGAGACCTCCAGCGTCCCCCCAGTGAGGGCAGCCAGGCCCACCACTGGAGTCAGGAGAGATCCTTCCCTGGGAGTCTGACCAGCTGGACAAAAACACACAAATAACCTGAACATACCAACCACTGAGCAGGGAGAAGAAAAATTCAAAATTCCTCAGTTATGAGACATACTGCAACCCAGAAACGGGTAAAATAAATGCCATTAAAGAAGAATTCAAAACCAAAAAAGGAGTCTTGCAAACTAAAACTATAGCAAAAATGAAAACTTAATAGAAAGGTTGGAAGATAGAAATTCAGGAATTCTCCCTGCAAGTAGAACAAGACAGAGATGGAAAAGGGTCGAGAATAATATAAAAATCAGAGGACTAGTCCAGGGGGTTTAGCAACTGACAGGCGCTCCACCAAGAAACAGAAACCAAAGGCAGAAAAGTCACTAACATGACACCTCAGCAAACAGAACTGCAGGATATGAGTTTCCACGTGAAAAGGGCCCAGTGAGTACTCACCACCATGAATGAATGGAATGAAAACTAAATACAATCAACTCGCGGTAGTGTAAGTACAGTCAGTCGCCCTCCTTCTATGCGGCTTTTGATCACTCAACCAAGGACTGGAAATATTAGGGGAGGAAAAGGTTATGTAGTTGTTGACATGTACTATGCAACCAGGTCTAAAGTGGTTGGTTGGGTCTGTACTGAACATGCACAGACTTTTTTATTCCCTAAACAATACAGGATAACATCTACTTATATAGCAAATACTACTCTATTTTATATATGGGACATGAACATCTGTGGATTTTCAGTATCCACGGGGGGCTCCTGAAACCAATCCTCCTCGGATATGTTGGGACGACTGTGCACAACTTAGCAACAGAGAGTAAAATCAAACATAATCCTTTAAAGAGCTGGAAGTGACTGGGGTGATGGTGTGAGGGGGAAACAGGAAAGAGGGAGGGAAGAGGGCCCCACATAGAGCCCCAGAGAATTGCTGCTGCTGCTGCTGTTGTCAGTTGCCGCTGAGATGGTTCCAACTCACAGTGACCCAATGTACTACAGAACAAGAAACACCACCCGGTCCTGCGCCATCCTCAGAATCGTTGTTATGCTTGAGCCCACTGTTGCAGCCACTGTGTCAATCATCTCGTTGAGGGTCTTCCTCTTTTTCCCTAACCCTGTACTTTGCAAAGCATGATGTCCTTCTCCAGGAACTGATCCC